TTGACAATGAAACCATCACACATTGGCCGTAAACATTACCAAGCATCTGCCTGATCTCATAAAAGCCATAACAAATATCCACCATGCATCTAAGTATGAACAATGTTGATGCATTCTAAAACCACAAAAATAATAAACAGCTCTTCAGAAAGCTGGATATTTTAATTTATTTTACATCCATAGCTATATAGACTGCATCTTAATCACATTCACCTCTACTCTCTCTCTCCAACTTACCCTTGTTCCCCAACACATCTCCCTTCCAGCTTCATGTCCTCTTTTCTAACCCATGGAGTCCCATTATTGTTGCACATATGCACCTGGGTGTGGGGCATCCACTGGGTCATGGGCAACCTGCTAGTGGGCACCCCCTAGAGAAAAGTGAGTCTCCTTTCTAGCAACCATCAACTGCCAATAACTACTCAGCTAGGGGTGGGGGCTTGGGAGCCACTCCCCCCTCCATGCTGGTATTTTAAACTGGCTTGATCTTTTGCAGGTAAACACAGTTACTGCAAGTTCATGCATGCAACAACTATGTCATGTCTAGAAGACAGCACTCAGCACTCCTCTCTATCTTCTGCCTCTTTCATTCTTTCTACCCCTTTCTTAGATATTCAGGAAATAAACTAAAACCTTAAATGTACACACCAACAGTAAGACATGTGCCAATCTCTCAAATACTGACAATTTAAAACATCACCTTTCAAAGTAAAACAGTATCTGAAAATTTTATACCTACATATATTACACTGAATTGTTGGTTATAAGCAACTTAATGTTGGAAAACATTTATTGAATATTATGGTTGAGAATTTGGAATAAGTAGACTTTAGCTCCTGGGTAATAATTGTCTCTTGTAATCATTTTAGAGCAAAGCTTAAGATGACACAATAAGTGTACCTCTCTTTCTAGATAGGTAACTGTCTAGTTCATTCCAAAGTCAGATATAATCCCTGAGATTACTGTCACAAGAAAAGTGTTGAGGGCTGGGAGAAGGCTCAGTTGGTCAAGTGCTTGTTGAACAAGCATGAAGAGCTGAGTTTGATCCTCAGCACCCATGCAAAAGCCAGGCATAATGGTATATAGTTGTAATCCCAGCACTGGGGAGGCAGAGAAAGGCAGATCTCTGGAGCTCACTAGTCAGCCAATCTAGACAATCGGCAAACCCCAGGATCAATAAGAGGCACTGTCCCCCAAAAACAAGGTGGAAAGAGACTGAGAAAGGTGCCAGACATTTACCCCACCCCACACTGGCATACGCACATACACATGAGTGTACATGTATGGACACACAAACACCAAAACAGATGAAAGGTTTTGATATCCTGGAAGAATGATTTTTCTCTTATTTCCAATATCTCCTCTTTTGATTCTCATTTCATTGCATCTGATATACTTTCCAGAACAATATTAAATAATAGTGTTTAATAGTGATTACCTGGTTTTAATGGAAAGGTCTCTGGTGGTCAATCATCAAACATACATTACTGCGATATTTTCTCTGCTATTTTTTACCACATGAACTTGCAGTAGCTGTGTCTACTTGTAGTTTATTAATACTCTCTTTTGAATAAATAAACAGAACTTAAATGCATGCTTCTTTGTATCCATGGACAGGATCATATAATCATGTAGTTGTGAATCTTTCTTATTTGACTTATTAGTGCCTTATATCAACAATCTGAATATTAGATTGCAACTAGAATTTGTCATTTTAGAAGTGGATGCTTTGCTTGGTGGATTACCTAGAGCAAGTTTCTAACCACAGGCAGCCTGTCTCCATATGCCAGCATGTGGTCAGTGTCTCAGGGATCAGAGACTAATTATAATAGTGCCAGCCCAGCCTGGGCACCATTAGGAGGTCAGACCTGCCAGAAGAAATCAATTATAGGAGAAGAACCTGTTTGGATGTGCTTCATGCCACTGCCCTCTCTGAGGTCCAAGTTCATGAACGCCAGAACCTGTCATTCTCCCCCGACTTGCCCTGACCTTCCCCTCTGCCTGACTTTTCCTTTCTGCTCAGTACACACAATTGATGATGAAACACAGGGAGGAGGTGGAGATGACAACTTCTCTTTATGGAGATGTAGGCCTCAGCCAAGAGAGCAGATTGCAGACAAATCCAATTATCCTCCAGCAGAAAGCAGGGATACACGCACATTTGCACATGTGTTCTAAGAGCACACATGCATTCTCATACATGAAGGTTCTTCCGCCATGTGTATCAGGCATAGTGAGTGTTCAGTCTGGATATACTGCATGTAGGAATGACTGAGTATGTAAACCCATATGCACTGATCTTCATATACACACAGGTGCACAAGCAAGCAGGAGCACACCATTCACACACTTCGACACACACAACAATGAACCCAGGGTCTCCTCAAAGCTGAGATTAGGTAACTTCTAGAGGTTTCTGTGACAGCTTGGTTGCAGTGAGTAAGAGCATTAGCTGCACAGACCGGAGGACCTGAGTTTGAATCCCTGCACCCATATAAAACGCTGGGTGTGGCAATATGTGCCTGCAACCTTAGCTATGTGGGGGGTGGATACAGGAGGGTTACTGGAGCCTACCAGCTGATGGCCTAACTCTAGGTTCAGTGAGAGATCACGTTTCAAGGGAATAAGGCAGAGAGTGATAGAGCAGGACATCTGATTGTCTCCTCTGGCTTGAGCACACAGGCACATGGACTCCCCTCATATACATGCACACATATATTTGCATACATGCACATATATATATGCACCATATACATCATATACATCCCCCAAAATGTAAAAACACCTCAATCAAAATGCCTCAGGTTATTTATCTGTCTATCATCTATTTATTATATATTCCATCATCTATCTTTTTATACATCTATCATCTATCTATGTATCTATCATCTATCTATCATCTATTTATGTATCTACATATATCTACGTATCTATTATCTATTTATATATCTATCATCCATCTATTTATTTGACATCTATCATCTATTTATATATCTATCATTTATCTATGTATCATCTATCTATGTACCTATTATCTATCTATTTATGTATCTACATATATCTACATATCTATTATTTGTCTGTTAATATATCTATCATCCATCTATTTATGTATCTATCATATATTGATCATCTGTCTATGTATCTATCATCTATCTGTGTAACTATCATCCATCTATTTGTGTATCTATCATCTATTTATATATCTATCATCCATCTATGTATCAATCATCTATCTACTTTTATAGCTATCAATTATTTATGCATCTATCATTTATCCATTTATGTATCTATCATTTATCTACATCTCTCAATCTATCTTCTATGGTCTATAGTTGATATCTGTCTTTTATCATGTATATCTATCATTTAACATCTCTACCTATCACCTATCTATCAATCATCCCGTGACCTGACTATTGTCTTACTATTTTTAAGCCAGAGAGAGCATCCCACGACTTCACTAGACTTTCTTGAGAGCAAAGATAAACAACAGTCAACAGCAAACTTCCTGACTTTAGGACAGTGCTCTTTCTGAAACAGGAGATGGGATTGTACCCACAAAAGGCAGATCTCCTGATGGGGTTGGTGCAAAGGCACTGATGCAAGAGAGTCAAGTACAAGGATCCCAACAGCCCAAGTACCTTCTGCAACAGTGAGTGAGCTTCTGTACTAGCCACACACGTGCAACAGGAAGTTAGGATGCAGCATACACATTTGTGAGCCGGGCACTGCTGGGTTCTCATGAAATCACACCGCCACGGCAGCTGCCTTTCGTAGACACAGGGAAGTTGGTGGCAGCTGGTCTGCCTAGACCTCATTATTTCTTCACTCCTGAGACCTGTGCATGGAGGCTGCTGAGGTGAGATGCAAGTCGCATGCATGCATCGAGGGAATAGTTCAAAGGGACATCTTGCTTTCATCTGTTCTCCACTGCCCTCCTCCCATTCAAGGGAAAGCAAAGACAAACAACTGTTTGGAAACAGATTCATGAGTCCTTGGCTGTCTCTCAGCACCCACTGCACCCCAACCAAAGAGAATGAGCCAAGGGTCCCCGTGGTCAAGGAGCTGGCACGTGGGCGTGTGTGTTTGTGTGTGTGTGTGCGCTCGTGCGTGCATGTAAGAATGTGTATTTATGTATATAGGTGTGTTCATGTGAATGTGTGAATGTAGTTGTGTGTATTCTATATGTGTGTGAATCGGTGAGTATGTATGTATATCTATGCATGTGTGTATGTTTGTGTATGTATATATGTGTGCATAAGTATATGATTTATGAATGTGTATGATGCCTATGCATGTGTGTGAGTCTGTGTGAGAGTTTTATGTAAATGCATGTATGCATAAGCATTGTTTATGTGTGCCTATGCATGTGTTTTTTGTGTGTATATGCACGTATACATGCACAGGTATGTGCATGTGTGCCTATGCACTATGCACATGTGTGTCTGTGTGAGTATATATGTATATGCATGTATGCATAATTTTGTGTATGTGTGTCTATGTTAGTGTGTATGTGTATGCATAAGTGTGTGTGTGCCTAAGCACATGTGTGTTCAGTCTATGTGAATATGTGTGCATCTATATGCACAGGTGTGTGAGGTGTATCTATGCATGTGTGTTTAAGTGTTATGTACATACATGCATGCATAGGCATGTATGTGTACAATGCATGTGTGTATGGCTCTGTGTGAGAGCATATGTATGTGTGTAGGCATATATATGCCAACACACATGTATTCAGTCTATATGAATGGAAATATGTGTGTGCACAGGTGGTGAGTGTGTCTATGTGCCTAATCATATGTCCAGTCTATGTGAATGTTCATGATGTATATAGAGGTGTTGTGAGCATGTGTGGTGTGAGTGTTCTCATGAGCATCTGCTGATCAAGCCCTCATTTGGTTTGCAAATGGTACAGGATACAGAGACCTTGGAAAGAAGCTCCCTGTCTAAAAACCAATTTAAGTAGAGAGGTCTTAGCATTTTTTTCACCAATAAAATGTTCCCAACAGATTGATTGCTAGCAAAGTAGCACACAACTACATTTGCTGTGGTCATGTCCACAGCAAATGAGAAAGTGCATTCTTAAAGCCTTGGTAATGACCATGAGAGGTCTTAGCTTTTAAATTACTAATAGTTTCTTTGGAATATAATTCATATACCATACATACAATTCTCACATTTGAAATGTGAAAGGTCCAATGGCTTTTTAAAGGTTTCATTTAGCCATTCATTTATTTTAACATGGAACATTTTCATTAATTCTTTGAGAATTTCGTACAATGTACTTTGGTTATAAACACCTTCCACTCCTCCCCCTGACTCCTACTAGATCCACTCTCACCCCCCAACTCCTAGTTTCATGTCTTTCTTGTATTCAGAATCACATGTTCATTCCTACAATCAATGTGAGACTGTCACCACTGCCCCAAAGAAACCCCACATTTTTTACCCATCTCTCCCATTTCCCACCCCTCCTGGCCTCAGGCAACACTGGTTTATAGTGTGTCTCTCTCTCTCTCTCTCTCTCTCTCTCTCTCT